CCAGCTGATGGTGTGCAGAGAGGTTCTGTCAGTCTAATGAGCTGGGTTATCGGCGATGTACTTACCCCTGGCTGGGAAAGCAAGCCTGGCTTGCCTCGCATGAAGTTGGAGCAGACCGCTGGCCTGGTGCGTATCCCCAGCTTGCCATTGGCGTGGCGCGACGCGCAGGTCTTATTGCAGCACATTCAAGGCATGGGACAGCCGGTCACGGAAGCGTGGCGTGGAGGTGTACCTGAGGTGGAGTGGTGGACTGGTAATTCATCCTCGCCAATCGTTCGCCTCAAAAACGAGCAGGACGAAGTTGAGCAGAAGACCATTTGGAATATCTACGGCAAGATTGTTGGTATCGAGCAAACAGAGAAGTCCATCATCATTGGCAACCACCGCGATGCCTGGGCGTTTGGTGCGACGGACCCAAACTCTGGCACGGCAGTCATGCTCGAGGTCGTGCGTGTGTTCGGAGATCTCCTTGCGCGCGGCTGGCGGCCTTTGCGGTCGATAGAGTTTATGAGCTGGGATGGCGAGGAGTACAACTTGATTGGCAGCACCGAGTATGTTGAAGGCCATGTTGACGAGCTCCGGAAGAATGCATTTGCCTACATCAACCTCGACACCGCAGTGTCTGGCAACGAATTCCATGCTGCGGCTTCTCCAGTCTATCGCAAGCTTCTTTCTCGCGTCCTCGACCGCGTGCAAGATCCCAATTTCAACACGTCTCTGCGCGCTCTGTGGGACAAGCGCAACGGCGAACTCGAGGGGCTTGGGGCAGGGAGCGACTATGTCGCCTTTCAGGACATTGCCGGCACAAGCTCCATTGACTTGCATTTTGACGGCCCAAGGCACCCGTACCACTCATCATACGACAACTTTGACTGGATGACCAGAGTTGGCGATCCCGGTTTTGTGTATCACAATCTCCTCGGCCGGGTGTTGTCTCTGGTAATATTGGAGCTGTGTGATCGCCCTGTTCTACCCTTCGATATGAGCAACTACGCACTGTCCCTTCACAAGTACGTCGGAGACCTGAACAAGTGGGTTGAGGGTCTCAAACTTCAGGACAAGGTCAACTTAAGCCCGGTCAGGGATGCCGTGGAGGAAATCAGGACAGCGGTCGATGAGTTTGAGAAGTGGGAAGACGAGTGGGAGAGGACAATCATTCACTCGAATGGGTGGGAGCCAAACGGGCTCACGCAGCAGAGGATCGCGTACAACAGCCGCATGGCGGCGTTTGAGACTGCGCTCCTGGATCTGGATTCTGGTGGTGGTGTAAGTTTAAATCCTTCAGAATGGACAAGTGACCAAGTCCCGCACCGCCCTATACACCCGCTGACGACATATGTGCCTACAGATTACGAACCGCACGCAGTTTAAACATGTCGTGTTTGGACCCCAACTTTGGTCCGGCTACGATGAGGCTTACTTCCCAAATATCCGCGATGCTATCGACGCCGAGAACTGGGAGCTCACAGAGAGCATCATCCAAAAAACAGCTCGCATCCTTCGGAAGGCTGCCGTTGGCCTCATAACAACTGGTGCCGAGTCGTAATCACTCCTGTGGAGGCTCTCGTCTACAGCGCACCCTAACGCGCCGACACACGTCTCTCGACATGAATACATTTCTATTTTTTTTTGTATTGTCCACAAACAGCACGCTGTACCAACACCCTCTCGACGCGCATCCATACACATTGCGTACGCAGCGTCACCCATGCCTGAGCTTCACACAAAGATATCCAGGGCCGCGGGCTCTTTTAGCAGGTTTCCCTACATCTGTGGTTGGTTCCGGTACACGTTGGGGCTTTATCATTATATACTTTCAAGGCCACGGAAGTCCTCTCTGCATTGCTAGGCGTTCACATTGGTGTTGTCGGTATTTTTCTTGCCATATTGGCGTCGAGTGTAACATTTCTGTGGGAGGGGTCTTTTTGTAGTTCCAGAGGTATATAAATCCGGGTCTGTGGAGGGGGGAAAGAGATGGAAAATTAAAAAGATGAGGCTATACATTCTTTTTCTGTCAAAGGTTCTCTATGTGTACTGTGTAGTCATTAAGACATCCGTCTGTATCAGCACCAATAACGATGTGATGAGAAAAATACGCAACATTGCCACACCATGTTATGTAGCGGCAAACAGGCTCGCGTATAAGACACGAGATATCAAGGTGTGGTCAACTTCAAAGTGTCGAAATGTGTACATTGTACGCGCACAAGAATAACATTCCCGTGCTGTGGGAACCTGTGTGTAGAGGAACAAATAAAGTACTATAAAAGGGAGGAAGCCTGCGTATGTACCTTGACTGACTCTGCTACCTCTCTCTCTCTCTTTACCAACAAATAACTGCCAGATTTTCTTTTTCCCTGGCTACAACTTGGGAGAGGCAATAGCGAGAGCAATAGAGACCAATGAGAAGAAGCCTAGAAGTATATACGGATGCATTCTCGGAACAAAGTCTAAGGAAAGACAAAAGAAGAATGTCAGGAAAAGCATAAAAAACAGAAACCCCGGAAGGAACTGAAAAGGGTAGTTTTCACACTAGGCAGTGGGACACGACAAGGCTAAAGACAGCTCCAAGCCCATAATCCTGATTCAGCCCGGGCAGTGGGAGCGATACCCTTGAGGAGGAATTGGAAAATGCCTCTGTCCCCCATTTCAGTGTTTTACCACCCGCCGAGGTACTTGCCCAGCGCGGTCCAGGCGCCGCTCGTGTTGAGCAGCTGGGCCTGGGGGCTGACGAAGCTATCGGCGGGCTGGCGGCTGACGCCAAAGAAGCCGTACATCTTGACGAGGGCCTGCTTGTCCATCCACTCGGCCATAGTCTTTGTGAACTTGACAACGTCGGCCGAGTTGCGGCTCGTGCTGGCAATCTCTGACACGACGATGGGCAGCCCGTACGCGAAGATGATGGCGGCGAGGTGGTTCTTGGCGGCGGTAATCTCCTTGTCGACGGCCGAGTTCTTGTTCGTGTAGAAGTGGCAGCCGACGTAGTCGGGCTTCTGGCCGTCCGAGAGGTAGCCCATGAAGGACTTTAGCCAGGCGAGCCCTTCCGGAGAGCTGGCAATGGCCGGGCCGACGAGCTCCACGCCCTTGGACTTGCGGAGGGGTAGCATCTTGGACTTCCACGTTGCCGCGGCGTCCTTGGCCGACACGCCGTTGCGCTCGGGCTCGTTGTAGAAGTGCACGATCGGCTTCTTGCTCTTGTTGGGCTGGGCGTTGATGTTTGTGAGCATCTGGCTCCACGCGTCGCCAGACGCCTGAGCCGGGGTGCGGACCATGGGCTGGAAGTAGAGGTTGGCCGGGAGCTCCTGTGGCCTCCAGGTCTCCCAGTTCATGACGGCCTTGATCTCCTTGGAGGAGGAGAGCTTGGCTGCTGAGGCCTTGAGGGCGGCTGACCCGTCAAAGTCGCGCGTGTTGGTCCACTCCCAGAGCACAATACGCTTGCCGGCACCGAGGTTGGTAGCGCGGGCCGAAAGCTCGGCAGTGGTGGTGCCCTCGTTGACGGCTGGCGTGGGCGCGGTAAGGGCCGGGCTGATGGCAAGGAACGCCGCGGTGAGGGTGGTGATGGACCACTTCATGTTTGGAGAGGCTGAAGATAAGTATGGACACTTGTGTCTGGTAAGAAATGCGTGTTAAGGACCGTGATGTATCAGGTTCTAGCCCGGATTGCTGGTGAAAGTGGACAGGAATCTACGAGAGCCGAGCTCGGATGTAGAGGGAGAGTGGTGATGGGGAGGGATGAGTATGATCTGCTGGACAGGAGTTTAGCCATGAAGGACGAGGACGTCGAGCTCATCTTATAGACTTGTCCAAGGCTACAAGTGATACATCTTAGTGTGAAGCCTCGAGGAGGTCGAGGCGCACAAGAACCACGAAGCCATGGTGTCGTCCCTGGATCCGAGGGACGTCGATCCGGAAAAGCATTTTCCAGAGTAACGTGAACCTCCTGGTGACTATTCAGAACGACTCAACAGTCCTAGACTAGCCATACAGGGCACTCAAGCAACGTTGCCAGGCGTGGTAGAAATGGGGATGGTGACGATATCGTAGGTGTTGTGGACGAGGGTAGGGCCTGCGGACAGAGCCACACGGTGACGGTGGAAAGGCTTGCGGTCTGCTAACACGCACGTAGGTCTGCTAGCTGATTTGCTTTGTCCACGCCGAGCTCTGAAATACAGTACCCAGCGCCGGGCGAGGAAGCATCCCACAGACAACGGCGAAGGCGCGGCTGACGGAGACTCTGCCCTTGCATGGTGCATGATGCATGTCGCAGGTCGCCACGGTGGACCGGGGCTGCGGCGCAACCTGGCGTAAGCGTAGGCAGCTCTGGCAGCAGAGTTCCATGGCTTGGACTGCTGTATCCGGAGGCCGGACCCAGCTAGAGCTAGTATTGAAGCTTAGAAGTTGTCGAATCGATGCATATTATCAGGACCAAGGCAAGGATCGGAGATAGCACGAAGGGGACATCGTGGTCACTGATCAGGCACCCGACCGGTTGGGTCTGTCTTGGATGGGCTTTGAGGCCCGGAAGTCTCAGAGGCGAAGAGGCCCTCCTACTGCAATTAGCTCAGATTGCTCAAGGGATGAAACGACAATGTCGAGGTCGTCTGTATTCCCTAAGCACCAAAGCACGGAAGCGGCGAAGGAAGGACCCCTGTTTCCAGTCCGGGGAGCGAGCACTAGGGTAAGTACGCTAGGGTCCACTCGCCGCTCTTGGAATGGTTGGGAAACGTTGCAGCTGCCTCCCTCGCCCATGATTGGGCAAGCCAATAACTGTAAATCCTGCACAGTGCTCCTCTCAAGAACGAGCTTACACCAGTCCCAAGCCAGCAAAAGAAAGTGTCTGCAGCGCAACGCACAAGGACGGTCTGTAGATAGCACGGTTACAGCATTTTTCAACAACAAAGAAACACCTTCCACAACAGTATTGAACAATCTTGTCACTGAACATAGAAAACAATCTTCCCGGGTGAGTCCAAGTAATTCTCCAAAAAGTGCAAAAACAATGGACTAACAGGGAGTCGAACCCTGTACCTTTCGCAAGCTAAGAACCTGATGTTGCAATGCAAAGCGAACGCTCTACCAAATGAGCTATTAGCCCAGTCTTTGATGTGATTGTTGATAGGCTGCGATCTTATCACGTTATATAATCACTCTGATCATACCAGTTGTTGTGAGCGGGGCAGCTTCGTGATTAGTATCTCGACGTCTGTGATAGGCAGAAGCGACCATTTACACGATGATCACTTGCGCGGGTGTTCGCAGCGTACGTATTTTACGGAAATCTGATCCCGTTTCTCTGTCATTCTCCAGACTGTCATAGACTATTTTCCCGCGTGCGTAGAGCGGCAAAGGAAACAAGCAGTACCACTCCGCACCATGGCTCCAGCAAACAGCATCAGCGCGGCCACACCCGCAGATGCCCCCGTGGACTATGAGAACCTCCCTCCCGCCACGAGGGCTCCTTCCAAAACAGGCAGCAAAGCCGACCGCGCCCGGCGGAGCAGCGACACCAACGACCAAGAAGCAGCCCGGGCGGGTACCGTCATCAAACCGCCGCCGCCGCCGCCCATGTCGGCAAGCCCGCCCCGCGTGCTGGTCATCGGGGCCGGATCCAGGGGCAGGACGTACGCCCGCTGCACAGTGACTTCGTGCAACGGCGTTGTTGCGGGCGTCGTGGAGCCAGACGACTATAAGCGCCGCAGGTTTGGCGAGGCCTTTATTTGGGGCGATGACGGAGATGGGGCAGAGCAGCAACCCCCCGAAGGTTCACAATTTCGCGACTGGACGGACTTTATTAGCTGGGAAAAGGAACGCCGCGAGAGAGTGGCAGAACGGACAGCACGACAACAACAGCGACTCCAAAGTGGAGACGTGAAGAGCAGGAACGACGAAGACGACGACAACAACGACCCAATCCCGGAGGGTGTCGATGCCGTCTTCGTCTGCGTCCGGGACGAGCTGCACCACGATGTAGTCATGGCGCTCGCGCCGCTGGGTCTGCACATCATGTGCGAGAAGCCCCTGGCCACGACGCTCGACGACTGCGTCGGCATGTACCGCGCCCTGGCACCGCATCAGGACGACAAGATCTTCTCCGTGTGCCACGTCCTGCGGTACTCGCCGCATAACATGATGCTCCGATCCTTACTTTTTGGTGACGGAAAGAACGGCGCAGAGCTACCCCTCGACGATCCGAAGGAGGAGGGCGAGCAAGAGGGAGCAACAAGGAGGGGTGCGATCGGCGAGATCCTCAGCATCCACCACACCGAGCCCGTCGGGTGGTGGCACTTTGCGCACAGCTACGTCCGGGGCAACTGGCGCCGGGAGTCGGTCACCGCGCCGTCGCTGCTTACAAAGAGCTGCCACGACATCGACCTGCTCCTCTGGCTCCTGTGCTCGCCGCCGCCGGGGGCCGCCGACGATACCCCTCCGCACCTGCCCGCCACCGTGTCGTCCTCGGGCGCGCTGCAGTTCTTCAAAAAGAGCCGCAAGCCGAGGGGCGCGGGCAAGGGGACAACAAACTGCCTCAGCTGCCCGGTGGAACCGGAGTGCATGTACTCGAGCAAACGGATCTACGTGGGCGGCAAGCATGCCGGGCTCGAGACAGGAAATGTCGGATGGCCGCTGAGCATCGTGATGCCCGACATTGAAAGCTTTGACGGCGGAGGCGGCAGCAGCGGCATCGCTGGCGATGCAGGGGACGAGGATAGCCCGCGGAAGCGGGAACTGCTCAAGCGCCTAGCCGAGGACTACGACGCATCGACAACTCCCGACGAGGAAGTGAAGGGCAGGAATTGGTTCGGCCGGTGCGTCTTCGAGTCCGACAATGATGTGTGCGACGAGCAGACAGTCACCATGACCTGGGACGAGGAGCTCTCCGCACCCATGCCTGAAAACGACGACGACAAAAACAACATCACGGCAGCAGCAGCACTGCCGCACAGGGGCGCCAAGCAGGCGACCTTCCACATGATAGCCCAGACGAAGCGACAGTGCCAGCGGTACACGCACGTCTATGGCACCGAGGGCGAGATCTACGCCGACTCGTGGACCATCACGGTTGAGGACTTCCGCACGGGCAAGACGCACGTATACACGCCGCGCCTGGAGACGCTAGGCCACGGCGGGGGCGATGTCGGGTTGGCGCGGCAGTTTATCATGGCCGTGGACAAAGTCAAGAATCACGGCTGGGGGGCGAGGCGGGCGCAGCGGGAGTTCATTGGGTGCACGCTCGAGGAGGTCGTGCGTAGCCACGCCATGGTTTTTGCAGCCGAGGAAGCCCGCAGGGAGAGGACGGTGGTTGACTGGCACGGGTGGTGGAATGACAAGGTTGGGTGCACTGGTCTGCGGTAGGTACAAGTGGAGATTGGTGTATGAAGTCTACACCCGAATGAATAAATAATGGTAATATAACATGCTTGAAACAATGGTGGTGAGCTCCTAATATATACATCATGAGTTTGTCAACATCTTCCTGTTGGACGCCTCCACTGACTCTAAGTACTCCTGCAAGATGCGGGCCCTTCTCCTGCTTGTTAGCATTGCCCGCTCCACGTCCCCGGCCTCTCTATACCAGCCTTCCAGAATTTCAAGGTTGATGAAGATTTGGAACTCGCCGAAGCCGCGCAAGCCGTCGGCGGCAGCGATAGCATTCTCCATGGAATAGATGGCGAGGGCATGGCGTGGAGACGTAGTCACGGCGTCACCTGGCGGGCAGTGAGCCCTGTGGTACTCGGCCATGACCTGCCACAGCAACCAGCCTATCCCACCGAGACCAGCGAGAACATCTAGTGACTGCTGCACAGAGTGGTGGCAGAATTGGAACGACTGCTCGTCCTGAGGTCCTGCGAGCCAGAGACGACCTGCTGGTGGCAGCAGGCGCACAAACATTGGTACATCCACTGCGGCGTTCATACTCAATAGCCGCGCGGTCGAGCCCACGGCTGTTTCCAGGTTCGGAGATCGCCTCCTAGACTTGTAGAGGATGAGATCTGCGATTAGGAACATGCTGATGGTCGGCACCACGGTCTCGGCAAGCGGCCGGATTTGCAGCAACATTCCAATGATGTTGTCGATGCAGCTGTAGAGGAAATCGACGCTTGTCTCGAGGGGATTCGTTGCAAAGACATCTTCGAGTGCTCTGAAGAGCCGAGTAATGGTGCCTGTCCCTAGGACCGCCTCTGAGTATGCCACAAGATACTTGAAAAGCTCTCGGGTTAGATTGATGTCTGGAATCATCACGATTGCGATGAGCATGTCGAAAAGTCCCAATGCCGAGGGCTGAGTGATGAGCAAGTGCACTGCTGAGAATGATCGCTGACTGAGGGCTGCGCCGTGCTTTATGTAGCCTCTTGAAAAGAACCAGCATGCTCGACTAAAATCACGCGTGGCTTCGCAGGCCGCCCCGTTGAAGTAGCCCTCAAAGTCCGCCATGAAGGTCTGAGAAGACATGGCCGAATCGCGCATATGTGAGGTTAAATCTCTGAAGCACGTGACGAGGACATCCTGAGCGTACAGAAGATTTGGCAGTGTGATCTGATGCGGGTCGGATGGCGGTGGTGTCAAAGCTCTGAGATAGACTGGCATCGCATCTTCGAAACCAGCCTCCTCCAAATCCCGCCGTGTCATACCTTTCCTTTTCAAGTAATTGTCTACATCGACTGCCCGACCGTGGCGGTTAAACGCTGTCCGCTTGCCCTCAGCATCGCGTTGTCGCTGCATGCGAAGCATCACGGCCACGTCCTTTTTCTTGTTGTTCTTCACGAAGCCCCATTGCGCAAACTTGGATTTGAACATACGAGGACTGTCCTCTTGTTAGCATTCCGAGCCTCTTATGGATGCCGGCATTGGCGAACACTTACGTGGCTCTGAATCCTTGCTCCTTCATGATTGCGATTAAGTCCTTGAGAGGCTTGTTCTCGTTGATGTAAATTTCCCGAATTTGCACCTTGTGCGACTCCCACACGTCCGGATGGTGATGATGGCGCGTCACAGAGCCGCTGCCGATATCGGAAGTGCTTGACGCGGGACTGTCCTGCAATCCCTTGACGGAATCATCCGGGGGCGAGACCGAGGCGGTCGTGGCCGATGACCGCTTCAAAGGTGCGGCCGCCTGCGCGCGGTGCCTCGGAGCGGCCACCGAGACTGGGCGCTGGGGACCACCATGGCTGGCTATGGAGAGCGGTTTCGAATGCGGTTGAACTGCATCGCTCAGCGGACTGATGCCAGCGCCAGAGCCGCGCCGTTCGCGCTTAATCTCTGGTTGGGTATTAATATCCGGTGGGGTAGAGCCGGGCGTCCACCGTAGCGGTTGCTTGAGGGCGTTCCGGTCTGTGGCTTCTGGATGCTCCGGACCGTCAGGGAAAGAGGACAGAGGCTCGGATGGAGGAGTGTGATTTGCTCTCATGTGTATAGCGACAGTAGCTGAACTCGTCAGCGGCTAACGAGCTCGGGCGGGACCGGCAGCAGGAATTTGAAGGCAGCTTAGAGAGATCGCAGCGCCGGCCATGGATGTGGCGTATCAATCAACAGGCATCTCGAGTCGGGAGATGATGGAAAGGAAGATGACGATGCACGATGAGACACGACGGGAGCGGCCCTGACATGTATCGTGCAGGGAAGGAGGGGTGCGTTGCCTGAGTCCTGGACTTTGATCTAAGCCAGGCCTGGAAGTCTATCAAAGTACAGGTACCTCATCTAAGGTCTAGGGACTAGCCTAGGATGCCATCCCCCTGAAGGCGCTCGTGCCCGCCTCCTCCCGCACATTGTCGGCAGCGCATTCCGCGGGCTGCGGCAGGCGGCAGCCACAGACCCTCAATAGAGTATGCTGTGGAAGTAGTCGGGATGACAGATACGTACCAGTAGCCTCGCGCTACTCGAGAGGACCTTACGCCAACCTCGGATCCAACAAGGGCTAGGTATGACAACATGACGGATGGCAGGACCCCGGACCAGCCGGGCCATCTTGTTACAGCACTACAAACCATCGTCCTCTTCCAAGTCTGGGAGTATTGGCCTTGAGATCTGAAATCGGCGGGGTTACAGCGATGGAGATGCTCCCACCGACTCGTTGTCGATCATTTGATTACACACCATGTG